TGGTGCGGTAATTAAATGTTTGGCTGCTAACCAAAAGGCCAGCCGTTCAAACTTACCAGTCACAAAAGTGGCAGTCTGCTTCCATAAAGATTATTGTTGTTAGGTGCTATTGAATTGGTTGTAATTAATGGTCAACCTGTACCAAGTCCTGTACCATCCCCGTTATTGCTATGTTTGAGCCCAGTGTTGCAGCCACTGTGTCAATTCATCTTCTCCGGGGTCTTTCTCTTTTTTGCTTACCCTGCTTTTTACCAACCATAGTGTCCTTTTCCAGAGGCTTGTCCCTTCTGATACCGTGTCCACACTATGTGCGACTAAGCCTCACAATCCTCACTTCTCACAAGCATTTAGCTGTGCTTCTTCTAAGACAAATGTTTGTTCTTCTAACAGCCCATAATACTTTCAATATTCTTTGCCTAAACCATAATTCAAATGTATCAATTCTTGTTGGCTCTCCTTTATTGTTCCGCTTTCAACGCATCTGAGGTGATGAAATGACCATGGCTTGGGTTAGCTGTGCTTTAGTCCTCAATGTGACATGTTTGCTCTTTAGTACTTCCAAGAAGTCTTGTGCAGCAGATTTGCCCTTTGCAATACGCTGTTTGAGGTCTTGCCTGCTGCAGTCTTGTTTTTTATCAGCAAGCACTTCAGAGCCTTATCACTTCCAATAAGTGAGGTGTGTCATTTGTGTATCACCGGTTGTTAGTAAGCCTTCCTCCACTCCTGATGCTGTGTTCTCTTTCACATAGCCTAGCTTCTCATATTATTTGTTCAGCATACAGATTGATTAAGTATGGTAAAAAGATATAACCGTGATGTATACCTTTCCTGATTTTTAAACCATATAGTAGTCCCTTCTTCTGTTCTTACAATTAAGTGTTCTGGAATTCCCATTCTTTGCAAAGTTATCCATAGTTTGCTATGATCCACTTACTCTAATGCCTTTGCATATTTAATAAAACACAAGCAAACATCTTTCTGGTATTTGCTTTCAGCCAAGATCCATCTAACTTTAGCAATGAATGATAATCTCTTATTCTACATCCTTTTCTGAATCCATCTTGAATTTCTGGCAGGTTTCAAAGATGATAGCCTTGGAAAGTCTTTGGAGGTAGGTTTACTCTGTTCTTTAGAATTATAATGAGTTGGAATTCTCTGGAAAACATTAAAAAATATTTATGAACAATGTAATTTTTCTAATATTTTATTTTTTGTTTTTTCTGAAATATTTTCAGAGTTGCATTTTAAAGTTTGTGGTTGTTAGCCCCTTTTCTGTAACCAGTAATATTTTAAATTGTTAATATACTCTGAATACATTCTAATACAGTCATTTTGATGATGGCACAACAATTAAGCATTCCGTTTCTAATCAAAAGGTTCATATTCACCTAGCAGCTCTGTGAAGAAACACCTGGAGATCTACTCCTATAAAGATTACAGCTAAGAAGGATCACTATGAGTCAAAAATCTATTCAAGGACACCTAACAACAGTGGTGACTAATGATGTTGAGTATCTTTTTGTGTTTAATGATTGTTTTTGTATAACTTCTTTGGAGAAGTGTCTGTTCAAGTACTT